GTTTGTTAGAAAATAATATAGGAAGAAAGTTTTGCTGAACATTAAGATGTTGAATATTGATCAAAATGTAATATGTAAAAAACAATTTTAAACATTAACGCATTGTTCATAATTGCATTAACTCCCTTGGGTAATATTCATTTTCAAAAAAATCGTGGATATGTTTAAATAATAAATAACTATTATATTTTATAGCTAGTACGTTATTCAGCCATATAAATATAAAATTCATGTTAAGTACTAAGTATTTATAGTTTTTTATTTTAATATATGGTAGGAAATTTTTTTTGGCTTTAAAATATGTTAAAAACATTTTTTTGGTGTTTTGTGTTTCATTTTTCGTAAATTGGTGTTGAGAAACAATATTGCACATATTTTTTATAAAGACTGCATAAATAATAAATTTTTTATCAATAAAAATTTAGTTGTTTGTGTATGTATTCATCTTATATTTTCCATAGATTGCATAAACTTGAGAGATAGCGTCATGCAATAATAGTGTCAACGTATGTTACAACTCTGTAAAGTAATTTCATTACAACCAGTTTGACTAAAAAATGTAATTCTTAGCAACATTTGAAATTAAAATAATTTTTTAATTGGTTTTTTTTTTTACTTCAACTAAAAATATCATTATTTTTTTTCGATCAACTTGCAGGAACTTATACAATTGAAAGAATGGTAATAATGGTATTGAATAATATTTTTAATTTGTTGGTACTAGTGGTTTATTTCTAATGGCATGATTTAATCATTTAAAACCGGGGTGGTCACCCATCCGGGAGCTAGTGCTACCGGAAATGTGACCAACTAATGCTCCTTGCAGTTTTTTAATATTTATAAGATGCACAGGTAAGTAAAAACCTATACTGTTCTCGGCATAAGCTTATCGCTCTATTTCTTAATTTATAATGTTAAAATAACGTATTAATACGTTGTACAAATATTATAAATATATAAATGATATAGAATATAAATTAACTTTCATTTGTATTTTGTTAGTTAGACATAAATAAATTGTAAGATAATTTTATTTCATTGAAAAAAAACGTTAAAATTTAGTTACAGTGCCTATTTTATAAGTACACACAAGATTTACAAGTTGTAAATCAATATATCTTATGCGGTGCACTTATGATTGAAACAACAACAATATAGCTATAATAATTGTATACATATCTACATATTATATTCCATATAAGACTCGAATAGATGCACAATAAAATTTTAGTATCATTGTGAAATCGTTGTATTTTCCAGATCGCTATTATATAAAAGCATATTAAGCACATGCGATGGAATATATAATTTTCGTTGTTACACTTATACTATGCAGACTCTTTAAGTACCTACTAAATTCTAGAAGCATAAAAAGTACCTATGCATACGATTTGATTTGTAAAATAAATTAAATATAAAATATTTTATCTTGCAAATCAAATGTATTGATTCATATCTTCATTTATTATTTATGCATTCTTTTAAGATTAAACTGTTAAGTATTGAAATTATAAAAATATACGAATTATATAAATAAATCAATAATAATCATAATATTAGTTAAAGTAACAACATAATATTTACTAATGTGATTAATAGTATATTAATTATATTTATACGTTTTAGACATAAATGTAAAGTAATAAATCAATATTATAAAACAGATAAATCTAAGCTTTTTTAATTCTTAATTTCATTACAGAATCATATAATATAAGTTTTTAGTGAATTAGATCAAAGAAATATTAATTTACAGTTTTAAAATTTAAGGATTCTTTAAAATAAAATTAATATTCATTAAGTTGAAAATCATATAATATTTTGTTATAAATAAATAACAATTACATTATAGGTATTCACTTATAAAAGTTATAAGGTTATAACTTATAAGACATTGATTTTTGTTGTTAATTATTTTTAAATATGAATTGTACTACATTTATTGCTATTTTTCTATTCTCTATAAATTGGTATTTTTTAATTTTTTATATAATATTTAAGTATTGACTTCTAACTATACGACATTAAGTACTTGATCGATAGTTGGTATTTTCTTTATTTTAAAGACCTCCTGTAGTGTAGAAACACTTAACGATAATAATTTTGATCGGTTAACTCAAACACTCATCACTTAGTATTCGCCTACACCACTATTCATGATATCTTACGATCAAAAAGTATATAGTATATTGATACATTCTTAACCTAACGAAATACTTTTATCCTCCAATAATTTTTAACTCATATATTTAACATTCAAAACTTAAATATTATATTCTTATGAAGAACCTACGAGGTTCTCAACATTTACACATATGTCAAATAATTATACACAAATAATAAGGTGAGAGGAAATGGAAGATGTGTACCTGATTTTGGCATTTAAGTGGCGGAAACATTACTTATTCTCACGGTCGGTCCTTTCACTACTTACTAAGTAATGTCTAAACTTTGAGTTTAATATTTTGGAAATACATTTTCGCGTTGAAGATACTTCGAACATGGAGTACCTATTCCACTACTTGAAATTCCGTCTTGACATTAATTTGTTATAGCCAACAACTTATAGGCGTGTAGGTATGCATTAACTGTGTGCCTCCTACCTATGTCGTCGTTTTTAATTTTTAAGTAATGAATCATCGTACCTATTGGGTATTGAAAAACAAATGAGAGAGGTAATAATCGTTAATAAACATATCTCGGTTAAAAATAACAATGATTTTAAGTTGGACTAATAATATTTTATAGAAATAATTGGAATTTATTATTTGAATCATTTTTGATAAATATTAAATCATTATAATTTACCAGACTTTATTCGTTTACCTAATTATCTGTTTGATGGTTAAAAAAAACTTTAAAAATAGTCAAACAATAGTGTATTAACGGTTCCTCGATCCTTTTTGTTTTGAGTCGGTGTAGACTTTAGGTGATAAAGACATTCATGCCCCTTGCTATGGACGAAATAAAATACTTTCAAACTTCCACTAAAATCTTGAATTATTGATCATGAGATGTATATAATTCAAATAAATATCATGAAGATACAGATAGCATATGCGTTTAGTATTTACTGTGACCAAAAACATGCCATCCGGGGTAACATTAATTCACAGTCACAGATGTTTACCCGATTTTTGTGCTCACCTCAACGGGCATGATTTGGTATGCAGTAGGTCATAAATTGTTCCACTATTATTGTTGTTTCTGAATACGATATTAATTAATATTTAATTTTTCTTTTAGGTCTTTATTGTGCTATACAAAACAATAGATTAATACGGAGTGTATATATTGTGAGTAGGCCATTCAAACAATGATGTATATAAATAAGCGTTGGGCTTATGTTATTTATTTTTATTATATTTTTCATAATATAATCGTTCGATATTCAGGATGGATTTAGAACAGCGCGTAGGTGCATGTCGGTCAAAACGATTGTGGCAAAATATGGTCAAACCATTATGTACTAAATGACGGTGGTTCTTTGTGATACGTTGTCACGTGTGCGCACAAATCGCGCGTGTATATAGTATTACACATATAGCTTATTATATTAATAAATATCAATGATATAGTGAGGGACAAGGGAGTCTGCTTCTCATATTAGTCTAAATAATATTCATGTGTATTGTAAAATCGGTAGTCAATTCCAAAACAAAAAAATTAAAGGAATATTATATAAAATTAATAGAGCCTCTCTATTCATTTTATATTCACTCTATTGCACGCTCACTGATTATCTAAGTCAAGAAAAATAAATAAAATATGATATTACAAATTATGATTTTGATAATAATTTTAAAATGTTTACTGTTTACTATTACCCGTTAGAAACATGAATATTTATTTTAACATACATATTATAATAGTCTGAGGTTGTCCGCGGATATTGACATTTACCGTCAATATCAGTAAATGTAAACAATTTTTACAAATACCCCCTAATAATTGGGTTCTTTAAGTTATTTATTTATTAATTTATTATTATTATATTACAGTTATAATAATATTATTGTGTTTAACAATAAAGTAAATTCTCGTGGCAATTTGAATTTATTTAGCAATTTATTATCTATATTTTATTCCAGAACTTCTGTTGGTTGGACAGTTTTTTCGTAGTAATTTCTTAGTTTGAACATAAAAATTTTATGTTTTAGTTTTAATTCTTTCGATTTTATGTATTCTAACCTGATGATGTATTTTCAATTCGAGACCGGTCGTACAATACAAATATAATAACAATCCAGACTATTTAATCCAGCATTTATTTATTTCTGTATATAAACTATTTATTTATACAAAAAACTTAACTTTTAGACGCTGGATAAACGATGTGGTTATTTATTTTTTAAAGGTTTTTTTTCCATGAGATTCAGTTGCCTAAACGTTTGATTAGTTTTTATAATCCTGATGGACTTTTCGGTGTTTGTCAAATGATTACAAACAGGTACAAGGTTAGGTTAGGACAAGTACTGTACAAGTATTGTTGGCGTTTTTAATCGCTACTAAACGTTTGTTTTGATTTTTAACCGGAAAGGAGGCACACCGGTCGAACATTTTGGGCTGAAAGGGCACTGGAGCCGCCAAAAGCGTCGGCGGGCCGAGGAACAGCGTAGGAACGGAAAACCGCGTGAGCACTGAAGCCCGGAGGAACGGTATTCGTCACGGGAGTGGGCCGTGGCGACGGACGAACCTCTCGGGGCGGAAAACAACGCGCGCAGCTTAAACGCGACTTTCCAGCATAGCCGTCCCCTTGACTGTCGCACAAAGCCCAAATATGGTGTTTGTATTGCCCCGCGAAATGATAATACAAGACCGGCGCAGACCCGCGCGCGTAGCGGCGCAATGTGGCAAGTCAGCGGCGGCGGGTGGACGGGCGGACGGGCAGGCGGTGACGGTATTCTCGTCTCTCGATTTTTTTTTTTTTTGTGTTTCTCTTTCCGACGCACCGCGCATGCGCGTTACAATGCTGTCGTCGGCCGACCTACGGGCTTCGGCCGAGGTTAGTTTAAAAGAGCACTCGTCATCGTGTGCGTAGTCCAATACGTGTTCGCAGTCCGAGAGCAAAAAAGTATATAATAAATATATCCGTCGTATTATTTTTTTTTCGTTATTTTTTTTTCTCGTCTACCTCTTTAAACGATTATACGAAAACCGACGGCCAACAACCATTACATTGTAGTGTATATATGTATATATACATATATTTGAGATATTGCAACAGTATAGGATCGCTCTTCGTCGACGACCAAATACACGAATCCGAATTCTCACATGCCGTATATTTATAACAATAATAATAATAATAATTATATAAGAACAATAGAAATCGAATCACAATAATTTTATTATTTTAAACCGATTGGTGCGACGCGCGTTCACAGATAACACGGTATACCGTCGAAATCGAAGCGCACACGCACACGCACGTAACATTAATCATCGTGTCAATAACGCATCGTGTAGAACACTGCAGTCGTCTACAGTCGCCGTTGTCGTCGCCGTCATCGTTGTTACCGTACAAGTAAATCGCGAAAAATGATTCCGAGTCGCGTTTGATATTATCTTCAGCCAAGGATTTAACCAGTCACAGCCGTCCGGTGAAGCCGTCGTACCGACCACCGTCGCCGGTAACCGTCCTCTTTTACGGCGTCTTCGTCGCCCGACAGAAGTTTCCATGAAAATGACGGAAATGAACGTGGTCAACACGCAGAGCATCGCCGATTATTTGGCGCAGTTGCTCAAAGACCGCAAGCAGATCGCAGCGTTTCCGAACATGTTCATGCACGTCGAACGGCTCATCGACGAAGGTAATTACTTCACACGATCATATATCATTACTACACTACCACTACTATTTCTCCCGAATTCCGCCGTCAATGATTAACAATACAACGTGTACACCGATGACAGTGTTATGTGGTCATGTGTCTCGTCTAATGTCCGGTCGAACGGCGATTCCGAGTTGGTGGTTCATAACGAATTATTTTAGTTCATTTTTTCCCAATTTCCAGTAGCGTTTGTTTTGTACGTACGCGCACCCATCGCATTCGTTTTGCATGTGATTAATTAACAATATTATCGGTATTATCAACGTCGTCACTTGAGCTCGTTACCGCTGCGTGATAAGGCAGTCCGGTCTCAGCTGATTTCGTGTCATGCGACGGTCAGTTTATAATATTATTTTCACTCATTGCTGTAAGTCGCGTTTTTTTTAATCTCGTCGTGCGCCCAATAACAACACTGGTCGACGGGCGGGAGGGTACACATCTCGTTTTTCCCGTTTTACCCTGCGCGCACCCACTCTACAGTTGACTGGCGTCTATTTCCGTCGTTCACGATCCCGGTCAATTTTTAGCCCAAAGCTCTCCTGTGCCGTTTCGTACTAATCACACTCGCACTCCATAAAAATGCGAAGGAAAATAAACACGTTCGCATACCGTCGGGAAACCCATCATTCTACACGATACGACGTAAACAGTCCGCTTGTATAAAAAAAAAAAAAAAAAAGGGTTCGGTCTCATATAGTGTATTTGTATGCGTGTGTGTTTATGAGCGAGCGTATACGGCCTTCGCTTGCCGAGTGCGAGCGCGCGCTCAAAGACGTTGCCATTTACGAGCCGCCGCCGAAGCCGTTAGTGTATGTGTGTGTGTGTGTGTTTGTATGTACGCGTACGGATTCGGTTTCACGACCGGAATGCGGCGGCGTCGGTGGCGGCGACGACGGTGGTGGTACCACTCCGCCGACCCACGTGCTCTACAGGTGCCGCCGCCGCGCTCTCGGTGCACCTGTGCGCAGGGATCGTAATTGAGGGCCGGACACCGGAGTGGTATCGCCAGAAGTCGGCGCGACTGCACAGTTGACGGGGCCCGGCCCCCGGTTCGTGTTCCTTAGCACGTTATCGCCCGTCCCCGACCGTTCCCGAAAGGGTTTTCTACACACATGGAAGCGTCCGTTGCGCAACAAGTGGGCATCCAAGCTTCGCCGCACCCCTCGTCACCGCCGCCGACTCACGTCTACAAATGGGAGCGCGTTCGTTGTGCGTATCGCATTAGATTTTTGTTTTACATATACTATTATTATTATTATTCACCGTCGTCTCATGTCCACCAGAAACGTGTAAACGAAGCGTAGGTATATAATATGCGCGTTGTCGATGCTGCAATAAAACAATGCGGTCACGTCCATAGTGATTATTCGCAATATTATAATTTTATCGTTTGTTCCTCGTTGACCTAATCATGTTATTCCAACGGTCCCTTATATCCTTGTGGAAGTGATTGTACTCTGGCCACGTGTGTATTTTTTTTGATAATACCCTTTACCATCTCTCTCATACGCGCTCCAACGAATAGTTGTAATAGTATGTGCACATTATTTTATCATCTTGATGACCGACGCAATATTATTATTAAAAACATTACTTTGCGCAGTTGTGTTTAGTTTTTTTAGTTGTTTAGTGTTTAGAAAATGCATTCAAGTAATAAAACTACCTCACAATCTGTTTGAAAATTCAACTGAACCCATTAATATTTCAATTTGAGTTAATATTTTTAAACAATAATTTTATTTCATTATCACGACCGACCATAGCCTTGCGGGCTATATCCCATAATAATTTTTCACCCACTAACGTACCACAATGAATTAAACTTCAAATGCCACGGGAACTATTGTGGAATATTACTCGTGGTGATGTATATTATCGGTTTTCCGCAATCGGTTAACGACTTTCCGTGTGTGCTGCGCAAGGAGATTGTTCTATGACCATAGGTTCTATAACCTACTGCATGACTCAAAACGGTCGATGGCGTGTGTGTTTTTGTAGGTGGGTGAATGTGAAAAATGTGTGATTAAGTTTTATCACGAACAGAATAACAACAAATGAAACATGATTCGATTCTTATTTCGAACACTCCACAGATTTTTTTTTTTTTGTTTATGGATACCTTAATTTAATAAAAATGCTCACTAGTGTATTATTGATAAATGTTTGTTAAACAATTTATATACATAGACAAATAAAATAAAATATGGCAAATTTATAAATTATTTTTATTGTTATTAAATATTTAAACACGGGTAACTTAAAATAAATATTTTGTTGGAATCAAACAACGTTTATTGAACGAAAATAGTTATTTCTGAATATTTCTGAATCATTTTTTTTTTTTTTTTTTTTAATTGCAGTTTCATTATTTTATAAAATTAGCTTAAATCTACTATAACGATATAAAAAAATTGTAATCTTGAATATATTTGTTTTTGCTATGGTTTTAAAAATTTTATTATGATAATATAATATTATTATATTATTATTATTATTATTATTATTATTAAAATAACACTTAAATCAACTTAAATTACTTTAATCAACACTTAAAATATATTTTGATAAAAAATTAAATTTTTTCACAAATGTAAATTCCGTATATAAACATACATATCCATTTATTTATAGATTGGCTTTGTTAAACTGAGTTACATTTCATTTTAAACGTCAACGTCCGATTTTAAATGCTATTTTATTTTATAATTTTTAGAAGTTCTTATAGTTACATAACATTGTATATGTTTTGGATTTTCCTCATCGTAAATGTTATACAAAACTAATGTAAAATTTACATTAATAATTTTTTTTTTAGCTTCCGGCAATTAATGTAACATTATCGGATAATCTTTTAAATATACTTATTCTTATTAAGTTAAATTTATGTATGTATTCATGCTATAATTTCCATATTACATTATTTGTAGTGATATGTTTAATCTGATCATTAGATTCTTTTCGATTTTTTTTCATTTTCATTTATCACCATTGGTGTTTAAGCAAAATATAAATATAAATAATATAATTAATTTAATAATCCTATTGATTGAATTTATTATTTTTTAATAATAAAAACAGAAATTTATTAAATGTTTGGCTGAATGCGTTTTCTTTACTTCTTAATTATTTATAGAAATGCTGAATTCACTTCCAGGATATAATACTAACATTGAAAATTTTCGTAAAAAAAAAAAAAAAAACAAGTTTTTTTTCACTATTTATTATGAACATGGTTTATAATTATATGCGTTCGTAAGATTTTTAGATGATCATTTTTATATTAATTATTCGGTGAAAGTATGCTATGTAAATAAATATTTTTGTAAATTATAATATATTTAGAGTATGCATATCGTAATAATTATTTTGATTTGTGGGTATTGTAATATTCTGTTGTCTTTCGAGTTGAATTGTGACAAGTCCCAATCACATACACAAGCTTTCTAATTCAGATTAAAGAGAAAAAAAAATACATTTTAAATACCTTTAGCAAATGCCTTTTATATGGATATGTTAACAGAAAATGTACATAAGGTAGAATAATACCTGCAAGTACATTATAATACATATAGCATACAATAAACGGTTGCGTGTCGGGTGTTTACATAATTTTCGTCTGTTTTGATGTTTTATAGCTTTTATTAGAAAGCGAGCGTAGTATTGAATGTCTTACAGAAAACCCTTCTCTATCTCTCTTATGGTCCGAATTCTTGGAAATATCAATGGCTTGTAGGATTACGATTCGTTAAGCCGGAGGCTATAACCCATTCAATATGTTAGTGGAGTAATTAGTAAATATATTTTCCTGTGGATAGAACACGTATCGTTTAATAGTATAGGTCTAGTTACTAAAATACTATGACGCGTGATGGATGCATTTCATAGTAGAGTCGTTTAAATTCGATTTTGCGCTGTCTAAAAGGCCGTTGCCGTTATGAACGTAATTTTCTGCGTAATTTGCATCCGACCTATCGTTAATCCTTGGGACAGCGACTATGAGGATGACGTTTTCCGGAAACATTCGTCGTCGTTTCACACAGTCTTAATGTCGTCGAAACCAACTCAAGGCTGTTGTGTAGCATCCGTTTCGGTGGCAATTGTGAAAAGGAAGGGGGACGGGGGGAATGCTGTTGTTTTTGTCGGCTATGCCAATTTTGCGAAAGCGCCTCTCAATTTGCGAGTTCATCATCGCGTTACACTTGCACGCCAACTGAAGTCGATTCAATTACATTGATCGTTTTATCAGATACCGTCGTCCGATGTTGACAAAAAACCAAAATGGTCATTATTTGTTTCGAAAAATCTCGTTATACTTGGCTTACTGCGAATCCACCCGTTAAAAAATGTTTTCAAACCGTCGTGTACAGGTGACGAAAATACGTGTGTACCTGCACACTCTTTGGGCACCGACCTACATTCTGTGTCACTCGTCCCTTCACCATCATTGCTAATCCTGCTTCAAATCGTTTGCCTTTGGCCGATTCGCGCTCAAGCATGCATGTATTATTATTATTATCATTGATTATTATTATTGTCACCTGGAGCCTACTACGCTCATATAACATTGTCTTTAACGTATTTTAGTTTGTAATGTAGTTACAACGATGATAATAATAATGTAAGAACAAAAATGTCAATGAAGATTGCGAATGACGTGCCTATCTGTTGCAACTATATCGTCCTGGTCGGTGTGTGTATGTGTATAATTTTCATCAAACCAAGTGCCACTGACCTGCATTACTATCTATGGATGTGGTTTGAAAGTTCTTGTCCTCCGTTGCTACTGCTGTCGCCAGTTTCCATGTATTCTACCAGATGTCCGACGTGCAACGACGCCGGTGCTTTCACACAAACTCATTCCCTAAGTCGTGACCACCTTGTCATACTGCAGGAGACTGTATTTTGGAGGATTCACCCCCTAAAGTCATTCTTAATAATTACTTATAAATATGCGTAAGAGATATTTTTCGCATCTGTTT